GTCATTTTCAGTGATATTTAGTCAAGTTCATTAGTTATTTTACTTTTAATGAGGGAAACAAAACCTGTCAGGGCTAGCAGCTAGTAAACAGTAGAACGTCAATGATGCAATACAATTAGGATGAGATGATTATGAGTAACAGTGGTGTAACAAGAGATGGTTTCTAAGCACACACAGACACACAGCTTGTAGTTACCAAGATATTCATTGCTGCAAACAGTACTCAAAATGTAGCATACAAAAGTCATTACTCAACCCCGCTCTGCTTATTACTTCTATTGCACAGCTGGAGGTGCCCTCTTGAGTCAGCTCCACACCATGTCCACCTTTACCCTACCAAGTGGTTACACTGGATTTTTATTATAATTTTTTATTTAATTTTATGTTTGCCTTCATTTAGATAAATGTTGAGTAGTATTATCTCACCCTTTAGCTACCAGGTCTTCTCAATGACTGATTTAGTATTTTGCAGTGTCAGCATGCAAAGTGACACAAATCATATGTAAGTTTTTTTTCAGGAGTTCAAATTCCATTGGAAAAATATTCTCTTGAGAATATTCTGAATCCACACTTTTGCTGTTCTGGTTGCCACTTCTGCTTCAGTTGCTTCAGAATCCAATCTTGCCACTCCCTTTAATCCACTTTCCCATACATATTGTTGTTTTATAAATCCAGTGTCCAAGTCTGATTGTTCTGCGTCTTCCTCTTTTTTGTTTTCCTTGTCATCTTGTTGGTCTTCCTGGTTTACTCTGCAGGGGGCAGTTGGAATTAAAGTGCCAGTTTGAATTTATTCAAATTGATTTAATGAAAAAGCAAAAGTTATTTGACCTTACCTGATATACTCCTAAAACTTTATCTTATCTCATTTGAGGAATAGTTTGAGTAAGGTCCTTTCCTGTTGACCAGGCCAAAGCCATGAATAATTTGCCCAGTTTGTTGTGAACATTTTTTATTGATCTGTATGTGCCCACCCAATGCTACTCATTTTATATGTGCTGAGATGTACAAAGATTGTGAGGCTTGCTTACCGACATGTTGGACCCCACTGATGCGACTGTTCTATCTCATGGTGGAGTAAAATTTTCTGTCATGTTCCTTCTCTCTCAGATTTGCCAGATATCAGCGTCAGCCACAGCAACCTCACAGTTATCGAGGGTGATCATGTAACTGCAATCTGCAATGGCTCTGGATCCCCATTACCTGAGGTGGACTGGCCTGTCAACGGCTTACACTCCATCAATGCACAAGGGGTAGGGAGCACATACACACTTGGGCATCCCCACGCACACACACACACACAAAGGAACAACAGCTTTGTTGCCTCATAAATATTTGATGTGTATCTGTTGATATCAATCATTGACATGATTTGCATCAGAAATAGACCATTGCACAGCAGCTGAATTTCCCTCCGAGTGGAAGTGGTAGTAGTTTTATTTTTTTATTAGACTCTCTTGACTTTTCAGTGCTAGTCTCGACCATAGACTGCATATGAAGATGTAAGAGGTGTTTCTACTTCCTCACTACCTCTTCCCCACTATCGAAATATCCTGGAAATGAACACTGCCCTCTTTTGAGGCAGAGTCTGAGCAGTAGTGATTAAAGCTCTAACCCTGGAACCTATGCTTACATTGAATGCACAGTGTTCACACACCACCATAGTCTATGGTCTCCATGATTAAATCATGGAGTGTGGAGTGCCAAGGTCATAAAAAATGTCTAATGCCAAACATTTTACCTTAAAGCTACAATGTGACATATCTGGAAATCAAGCCAGAGGTTGAATGAGATTCCAAAGCATGATTGCCAAATGAACTAAAAAAACTTTTTGAGAGAAGTAAAATGTACTAGAGTTTTAGGCTAATTGCAAGCCAAGATTAGCGCTTAACCTCTTTTATCCCATATGTAGGGGATTTAAATCAGCATAAAGACATTATTTTATTGCACGAACAAATCCTATGGCCATGAATGGGCACTTGCTTGAAAAAGGTTTTAGTTCTTTTTTTTTTATTTGAGCACAAGGGGCTACCCAATAAAAGCTGTTTTTAAATGAGCTGTGGTAATGCAGCAAAGTACAGCTTGACATTGTTACCATTGCTAAATAAATATGATGAGTAGCTAAACATGTACACTACTTCCTTTTGCTTAGTGAATCAGCCTGTTCCAAGTTAAGTCATATTTGCTCACACCACTTAATGGATGAAATTTTCATAGTATATTTATATTTACTATCATTAATTTTATTATTCTTTCCAATTCTCCCTCCAGGCTAAAGTCTTCGACAACACCATTCATTCCATCAACATAACTTTGTTCAATGTAAGCAGAGACGACAACAACTTCCTGCTAACTTGCACTGCCACCAACATAGTGGGCATGACCAATGCTTCTGTCCAACTAACAGTTCATTGTAAGTACACAGACACATACAAACACACACA